TTCCTTAGTGCAGGGGGTTGGACCTCATGACTTCTCAAGGTCACTTCCAGCCCTACATTTTTATCATTCGGTCACTGACTAAATGTAGTGGTTGAACTTCTGGCACTTTATGGTCTGGCAACATCTGGGGTCTGGCATGATTTTAGTTAGCTGGATGTCCATTTACCATGGGTGTGGCCGTGTTTTCCGTGGACCCATAAAATTTGTTTAGTCACCAGTCCTGGTTCCCAATGTTCTGGACTGTTGTTTGGCTCTAATGTACCCCAAAATGTCTTATAAGAGCCCAATAGTAATAGAGAGGTAGTCGTGTTAGTCTGATTTTGCTAAAACAAAAGGAAAAACTATGTAGCACTTTAAAGACTAACAAGATGGTTTAATAGATGATGAGCTTTCATGGGCCAGACCCACTTCCTCAGATCATAACTTTTTTTCATTTGTATTCTTTTGATATATATGGTCATGCCAATTCTCTTCCAGAATATGATCTGAGGAAGTGGGTCTGGCCCATGAAAGCTCATCATCTATTAAACCATCTTGTTAGTCTTTAAAGTGCTACATAGTTTTTCCTTTTATTTTTTCTAAGAGCCCAGTAAGCAGTGGAAGTGTTGGTAATGTTGCTAGACGCTATTGAAATCTTGTGGTCCAACAAATTCTCCCGTTTGACACCAGTCAGGTCCTGAGGATGCTGGACTAGAGAGGTTCAGTCTATATCTAGAAACAAATCAGACTGAGGCTTGATCATTGTAGCTAAAATGTAAATAAGTAGAGTCTTAACAGACTTCTGAAGAGCCCATACTACCTTGCCAACCAAAAATTTGATTCCGATAGCAATTTCCATCTTGATAGGCAGTGTGTTTAATCAGATTCATTCAGAATCAAAAGTCTACCTCGGAATCCACTTGGAGATCCTGGCAGTTTTTATACTATGAAAAGTACTAAGTAGTTTAATTAAAAAAAAAAAAAACCTTTTGTTTACAACCCATTATTGCTAGCCACAGAAGAGCAGCTGGCAGCTATCTTAGGATCCATCTTTGCCAGAGGTGTCCACCTCCAATTTAAGTAGTGATCGGTTCAATCCAAATGCATCTCCCAGCCTACACACATACTCCCCGAGTGGTCTGCTAATTCAGCAATCTTACCAATGTAGTCACTTTCCAATC